CACTGCATCATTTTTTATCATGCGTCTGACGACCATGATCGCGTCATGAAGGGATCTCTCCGTCTCTTCTAGAAATTGATCCGCGCCTCCACGCAGAATAAACGTGCACGTCTTCGCTCGCGAACATTCGTAAAAGAAGTTGAATCTAAAGATACAATTATAAATTACGTCAGATTGACTTACAGTTGAATGATGGATATTATTTAATTACCTTTCGCCACCGATCTGCTTTTCCTCGAAAGTCTGGCAACGTCCGAGATCAGAGTCCTTTATGTCATGCACCGTTGTTAAGATTGCACCACCGCATGCCTTCATCGTTCTCTTGAGATCTTCGTCAGGTACTCTACCAGCGCAGAACATATCCCTGTCCGCGAAATACTGCGTTGCGACATCGCCGATTGGTAACGAGGACAATACTACTTTCGCACCGCTCTTGTGAATCTGATCGAGCTTATCATAGAGAATCTGCCACTCTGCGTCGACAATTTTCTGATACTCTGACACATTGTCCACACGCACTTCGGCATTGTCCCGTTCGGCCTTTAATTCCAGCTCAATGTTCAGTAATGCAATCTTGCATTGCTCATATTTTTTCGGTTGCATTTCGAATCCGGCATATGAAAAGGTCTTTTTAAAGGCCACTCCTTCAATCAGCTCCGAATCCTCCAGCGCACCTCCAGAAACCTAAACATGTTACACTCAAAAATTAATTACACCCGCATATTAAAATCTTTCATAAAATATAAAATCATGTATGCCTACTTTTTTAATACCAATCATATTAAGAGGAAGTAATTCATCTAGCTTCATGACAGCCTTGACAACCAATTGGCTGAAATGATTCTTTTGTTGATGTATCAACTTGGAATTCATAGCTGTGGCTGCGCATTCCTCCAGAAGCTCAATCTGTTTGCTCATGTTGCGTTTGTCTAATTTGACGCTTAGCTCATTAATTTTATCTTTAGCTATCTGAAGCGCGCGACGAAGAGCTTTGATTATTATACGCGAATGTACGCCCTCTTCTATAAACGGTTTCATTTGTTTCAAGAACTCTCCTGCCAACAAAACTACGCTGGTTGTGCCATCTCCAACCTGTTAAATAAATAAGAATATTCAATCAATAATTTCTTTTTTCTTTGCTGATCCTATTTTACCTTCATATAAAATTATTTTGTTTGAACGCTTGGAAACAATCACAAATCTTTAAGAAATTGTCAGTCTAAACGTTCTAGATTTGATATTCTCTGAATTCTTGCCAGTATAACATTATTCTTGTTGTGTTATTCCAAGTTGACGTGTTATAAAAACCACGTCAGCCTAAATATTGTCATTGTTTTCAGAGGGTACAATATTAATGAATACAACAAAATAATTGTTACCTCAGCGTCTTGTGACTTTGCAATATCCACAAGAGTCTTAGCAGCAGGATGAATGATATCTAATAATTTCAGGATAGTAGCACCATCATTGGATATAGTGCTTTTTCCATTTTGATCGACTATAAGCTTGTCCATACCGCGAGGACCTAGGGTGGTCCTAACAGCATCCACGACAATCTGGCACGCATTTATATTGGATATAACTTGTTGCTTTCCCTGAGACGTATCCGTACCTTCCTTCAGTAGGATTATTTGAGGTTGCTGCATTTAATCAATAAAAGAAAAATTTAATGATAGATACATTTAAATTATTTCAACTTAAGTAGAGAGAGAGAGAGAGATACCCTTGCATATTTTCCCATTTCTAACATCAATATTTTTTTTTTTTTATAAATTATAAAGTAATTGAGGCAAGGTTATTGAACGATAAGAAAAATGAAGATCGGAATTTGCGTCATTCGAAGATTTCCATTCTACATCACACATTGATGTCCATTTCCATGATGCAAGTAGCTGCGTTATGCCCATTTCTACCAACATAGATTAACTTTAATCGTAGTTTAACTTATTTTTTATCTCTTTCTAGTTCTAAGAATCGAAAAAAGATAAGGAATAAAATTAAATTAGTTAAAAATTAAAAAGTTAACCTGTATTGGCAGAAATGAGACTGTTGCAAGACATAAGACTGTTGGAATCAATAACCAAGAATAAATTCAAATAACGTCAAGTTCAAAACGTCTTATATCTTTTACACATTTCTCGTAAAAGTATCTTCAGGACATCTTATATCCCGAATTTTAGCTTTTTGTCCAAATTCTTCCGGGGAGGATTCAGCGCGAAATAAATTTCCATATAAGGTTATAAAATCGGACCAGAGAGCCGATTTACAAGACGACTGCGATGAGTCGCAAAAGCTGCGAGATATCTGAATATCTCTTTGATTTGGTGAGGTATCCCTTGCCATGAGAAAAGCAGTGATCATAAAAGCGAAGAGCAAATATTAAATATAAAAGTGAGGCACGAGATAATGCACGAGGCGTCGTCTCGAGAGTCAGTTTCGAGGAGACGAGATTGACATGGATAAAGTACATAGATGCGATTAATGACACTTTCGCGTTTCTCGCATTAAAGCTTACCATCTCGGAACCTTTCTTCTTTCAATCAAAAGTTCTTATCACACGCGCTTTCCGCGACAAATCAACTTTTCAACGCTTCGCGATTGCCTTTGCTAGGGAATGGCTTCGACGCCCCCGACTCCTAGTCTTCTTCTTCTTCTAATATTTAAGTGGCCCAGGTTCCGGCGATAGTAAAGACCAGTAAAGACCGGATAAACATGGCCAACCCGACTCCTAGCCTAGTACTCCTACCAATCCTACCGCGGAGTCAATACGGCCAGAAACTACAATAGTGTAGAAATAATATGTTGGTATGACTGAGCTTCGCGATTGCCGATTGACATCATCGTCATCGGCTGCGTTCAGCAAAGAAAGCAGCTTTGCAACTGTTGTAAAATTCTTGAATATGATGGTTTGGCCCGGATCCTCATACGGGCAACAGCACTTTGATACCAAACGCTGATTGGTGAAAAACGGGTGATGGGGGTAAATTTTACCTCCAACCGGCTTTTCACCAATTAGCGCTTTGTGTCAAAGCGCTGTTGCCCGTAAGAGGATCCGGGCTTATACATTTAGGGTGGAGTCCCATGAAGCGTATTTGCCGCGTATCGCGTAACCGCGTAACCAATCAATAATCAGTAAAACGCGGAATTACAACAGCGGATCGCTTCTGATTGGTTACGCGGTTACGCGATACGCGGTAAATACACCTCATGGGACTCCAGCCTTATAGCGTTTTCAGCCCGACCGGGTTTGCACCAACCTGGGTTGGATTAATGGCGTTTTGCGCTCCCCTATTGGTAGAGCGTGTGACATCAACCAATAGGAAAGATTAATCCAACCCAGGTTGGTGCAAACCCGATCGGGCCGAAAACGCTATTAGATCCAATGAGAAACTAAGGGCGAGACCAATCATATTGAAGAATTTTACAACAGTTGCAAAGCTGCTTTCTTCCACGCTGTAGAGGCTGTTGAACGCAGCCGATAACGATGATGTCAAGCAAGAAACATAAGACCATTCTACATTGGTCGTATCGTAGACGTCGCAAGTCACAAGCTTGTTGCTTCAGCCAATCCGATGCTTCAATTTTAAAGTCGTATGATATTTACGACACTACTTACGACGTTACGATACGACCAATGTAGAATGGCCTATACGTTCTCGAGAAGTTAGAGCATCGTATAAAATTGCGATCGTGCCCCACCCTATTCCAATTTTGTCCAATTTTCATCTCAGCCAATCAGGGAGTCGATTGTGTATTTTAAAACAAAATAAAAATTACAAATTTACAAGATAATGACCAATGAAATCATAAATGTTCTATTAAATTTGCACATTTGTGTAATTTTCACTTTATTTCAAAATATACAAGATACACCCTGACAAAACGTGAAAGATATAAAGGTACCTTTTCTTGCTAAAGATATAAAAGATCACGTGGTCAAAATTGACCAATATCAAGTGTCCATTTTGATCACGTAATCCTTTCTGTCGTTGTAACAGCAGTTAGAGCAGCTCGTGAAAATTTACCTTGACGTTCAACACTCATTTTCAGCGTCAAAATAGATCACGAGATCAAAATTGACGCTTTTAATATTGGCTGCGTTCAGCAGAGAAAGCAGCTTTGCAATTGTAAAATTTTTCAATATGATTGGTCTTGCTCTTAGTTCCTCATTGGATCTAAAAATGTATAAACCAATCATATTCAAGAATTTTGCAACAGTGCAAAGCTGCTTTATTTGCTGAACGCAGCCATTCGTCAATTTCTATCACGTGTTTTGACGCTAAAAATGTGCGAAGGAACAGACGTAATAAGTATGGCTGTGTTTCAAAATTCATTGCCAGTGCTAAAAATGTATAATACACGCAACGTAAACTATAGATTTTCAGCACTGGCAGTGAATTTTGGAACACAGACTTTTATATAATTTCTCGCTGAGACCTCACCGACCTCGTCTCGATACATCGCTCCAATTTGTATAGCGATATTTTCAGGAAGCGACTCATTTTCAGAAAAAAAAAGCACTTGTATCCTTGAAATATTCCAAGATACTCGATCGACAATTATTATCCTCTCAAGGACGATCTTGTCTAGCGTTCGATTACTACGTGGGAGATTGTGGATCTAAAGATTGTATTATTTGCATCGATATGCAATACCCAAAATTAGTCGCACCCAGGAAATGAGGTACTTAAACGAACGATTTCTTTCGTAATTCATATCTTACAATCTCTTATACAAGAAGTATGTGTTAATTTATTTCTAACACTCCTTGTTCAAATCTTATTAATTAACGTGAATCAACAATTTTTATTTCCATGATTCTGGTAATCATGTATACATATAACACAAAGGCTTATTCTAATATTCGGTTACGTAAAACGCGATCCAGAGTGTAAGTTGTAGCTTCTGCAACATAGACGGGATCCTCGTACATTCGCCACAGGTTTATTTTTAAGCATTACTATATTTGTATAGGTCTGTCTCCTATGATATTGTGTAATACACAGCTCTATTATCACGTAATCCCGGAAAACGACTTGATCGGGCCGAATGCTCTTCAGTCATTCCCGCGCTCTTCTATCGCGCTCATACGTTTCTGCGTTGAACTCTACATCCCCGACAATCGATACGCGGACGGGTTTACTGAGAAGCTTCAAGACCGTTGCTAGTTTATTTTCTCTTCCTCGACCAGAATCAAACGGAGACGAGGCGTGAGTTAAATTGCACTCGAAATCGGCCCATATTGCTAAAACTATTGTCGTTTGTGTCAGAATGGTCCTTGCAAGTGTTTGAAATCAGTTTTGTAATTTAACCTGTTCTCCAACCTCTTCTCATTTAAATTAGAAAACAGGCTTATGAGAATAGCTTTCACAAAGTTTGTGATTTAATGTGTTCGTTTTATTTGATAACACCAAATAAATTGAGAGAACAGTCGATTTCTCATAATTCGCTTTTATACTTGGCTCCGTGAGACATTTGGAGAAAGTTCAAGGTGATGAGGTACCGGAAATGTCAACGAGCTTTCCCGAGGGCGCAGGCGTCTCACGTGGGGGACAACCGTGCGAGAAATCGATACGCGTTTGAAATTTTACTTGGGGTTCACATTATTTAGGGCCACTTTCATCAAGCTCAGTTAACTTAACCAGCTTAATAACTGTAATGAAATAGAAAGAGATAGAAATAGTTCTATCTCTTTCTATTTCATTATAGTTACTAGGCTGGTTAATTAAACCAACAATGGCCCTTAGGGTATCAAAAGATCTTTTGAATTTTTAATGCACACAAGAAATTAAAAAATTTCTTTAAATATAAAATGAATGTAGTTGAACAAATATAATTAAACAAGTAAAGTACAAATATAAAAACATACAACGATAAATATAAGAAAGGAAAGTATGTAGATTTATTTACTTCAGCATTTTACAAAAACAGCCAAGAAGGGACTTGGTTTACAATCAAAACTTATCCACACTCATTCTTCCATACTGATAGACCCTGCCTTTGATCACTTCACAGCCTTACTGCCCTTATATAATATAAATTAAATAAATAAATAAAATACCTCATACTCGTTAAAAAAAACTATTATATACATTAGTCACGCCTTTTCCCTAATTCTATGCATAAATTAACTAAAAAACTAATATCATCAAATATCACAGTACTGTATAAATCTTATTAGTCTGTTCTGAGAGCCATATATACAAGTCTCTTTCTACCTTTTCTGCTTTATTTTCTACGCGCTACTAAATCAATCACTATTCTTTTACTCCCTATCTTCTCCTCCCCCTTTTTTTTCTTTTCTATCTCTTTTTTCCTTTCTCTTTCCAGTTTACTCGGTACTTTGCATTTCTCTGAGTCTAATTCATCACTCCATAATTTCTTCCATACTTTCTCCTTGTTCTCACCTAATTCCCTAAACCAACTACTCACCCTTTGACAATCCCCGACATAGTGTTCCATACAATCCGTTTCTTTTCCGCAAAATACACATCTTTTCTGTTCCTTTTCAATCCAGTACTTGTTTCCTTCCTCCATGTTTCCGCATCTCAGTCTGACTAACCCTCTTACGCCTTCCCCTATTCCTATTCTACCTAAATTTTCTTTCCTTAAATAGTTGTGTTTTCTATTCCCTGCATCAAATTCCTTGTACCTTACGTTATACCTCGCAGCCCTGAGCTTGCTTTCTTCCCATTGCCTTTGTCCGTCCCTCTCCCTCCTAATTATTTCCTTCTCTAACCTCCCCTCGTTTCCCCCCTCCCTCAATTCCCTAGCATTTATACCCCATCCGTTCCTATTATAAAACTTTTCTCTTTTTTTACCATATAAATCTTTCCACTTACTCTCTTCTTTTTCTTTGAAAGGAAAGTATGTATATAAGGTGTTCAATAAAATCATTCGAATGCTGAATGGTTTTTTTTACACCCCGTATAATGACGAATATAAAAAAAATTAATATATCAGTCATTTATGTATATATTATATGTGAAAGTCCCTTAAAATTGAAAAATCTGTAAACTCATTATTTAAAAAAGTAATTGAAATTATACATTATTAATACATTTGAGTGAGTCTACATTTTAATTGAAAATGTATACATATATCTCCTAGTCTTTCTCCCTTTGATTTTCAAGAAAACTTAAATAGTCACCATTTTTAGTCTAGTGTTTGCCGTGAAGAGAGGAAAGTTATTCAGGGAAAATGAAAACAATTTGGGTAATTGGTGGGCCAGGATGCGGCAAAGGAACGCAATGTGACCGTATGATTGAAAAGTATGGATTTCTTCACTTGAGCAGTGGTGATTTATTGAGAGCAGAAGTTGCTAGTGGCAGCGAAAGAGGTGCGTCGCTTCAGGATCTAATGTCCAAGGGACTATTTGTGCCAACGGTATGTAATATTTAAATTTCCATTAATTGGTTTTACCATTCATGAACTAATTAACTTGCATTCACATTAATTTTTAAATTATACAAATATGTATAAATTGTTTAATAAAAAATTATAAATGATTATTAAAAATATAAGACCAAAAATCGAAATTGTATATGCGCTGAAAGGATGAAAAAAAAAATAGAAAGAGAAATATATATTACGCGTCTTACGCGAGCAAACCCAGTTTTTCTCAGTATGAAGATCATGTGATTTCGCTAGGACATTGTGCTGGAGCTCATAAAGGAACAGATGGATAAAGCTCGTGAGGAAGGAACCACAGAGACTGGATTTCTTATCGATGGTTACCCTCGTGAGAAGGATCAGGGAATACTCTTCGAGGAAAAGGTAAGCTAGCCCTTTTCTTTTTACTATATATCTCTTCTGCTTTAAATTATCATTATGTTGCTGCACAGGTTTGCCCTGTCGACTTAATTCTCTTCTTCGATGTAGCGAATGATACTCTGAAGAAGAGACTCCTTGGACGCGCTGCTGTGTCCCAAAGGGCAGATGATAATGAAGAGACAATAAAAAAAAGAATCGAGATATTTAATGCAAAAAACAGCGAGATTGTCGAATATTACAAAGACAAAGTTATGAGAGTGAGTTCAGATATGTAATATACTTTTTTCATTTGTTTTCAGCCGTCGTGTATCCTACAAATTATAAATTAATTATTTCCTTTCAGATTAATGCGGAAGGAACAGTCGATGAAATATTCGCCGAAGTAACGAAAGCGCTGGACACTTTATTCTTGGCAGCTCTGATTCAGTGTTGTCAGTAAAGGAAGTGTAGTACCAACCTATAGAAATAGTAGTACTTATGCCGTACCACCATAACAAAATAGCAGTACAAATAGTCGTACACATTTAGCTTTTTTTTACCGACTCAAGCAACAAGCTGGCCCCAGCTTACTGCCTGAGCCAGTAAAAAATAAAAGTTAAATGTTTATGGCTATTTGTCCTACTATTTTGTCATATAAAATATATAAAATGGCGTTAAAATGGCACGTTCAACAATATTTTGACCTTATAATAATTATAATAACGTCACATTAATTTTTATTACGTGTCATTTATAAATAAAGACAATTTGGATAAAACAAAATGATGAGATTGCTTTAAAATATTTGTAAAAATGTACGAAAACTGTGCTTATCTCCCCTGACAGTCAGTAAATAATCGTAAAAAGTAATGAAAGACACATGAAGTGCTTTTATTCAATGCGCATGCGTAGCTTATTTCCACTTACACGTGCCTTTATCACTTTACGATTTATAAACACAGTTTTCGTCCATTTGTACAAATGTTTTAAAGCAATCTCATCATTTTGTTTTATTCAAATTGTCTTTATTTATAAATGACCTGTAATAAAAATTAACGTGTCATTTCTCGCTTCTAACGTCACGATTCAATATGGCTGTGGTGACTACTCAGGAGCCTTGAACAAGTATTAATCGGCATTCTGGTTCAATTATACTTCTTTTCGTCCCGTTCCTCTAACATTTATTAGCTTAGATAAATTGCGCCGGAAACTTTTAAAGAATCGCAAGATTTGTCGCTCTTTAAAAACAAGTCGTTATCAAAGTTAACATTTTAAATGACGTTGGATGCTTACTCAAATGAAACATACAAATTAGGTATTGTTAATTGTTGAATAAAACTGATGTAGAACTGCTTTAAGTCTGATGCAAGGACATTTGTTTATTGCAACAATTTGTTTTCTAAGCAAAATTTTTAAATTAACATTTTAATTATAATATGAAATAAGTTAAGATTAGATTAAAGATGGTATGTATTAACTTTTACTAATTTTGGCAAATTGCACAACCATAGGTTTATCTTTTAATATATATCCATTCGTTTCTTCGAGAGCCATTTTTGCTTGTACAGCATTTTGTAAAGTGATAAACGCTTGTCCTTTCATTCTGCCTTCTTGCATAAGACGTACATCATATCTAGAATACGAATGTTAATCAAGACATTATAGGATAACATAAACTGTAAATAGCAACAATAATACTAGCAAAATACTCACTCATTTTCGGCGCCTTTTAATCCAGCAATAACATATCTTTCATAAATATAATGTAGATCCTTCATTTCGACTTGCTTTGCGAGATTTTTTATGTAGAGGCGATTGGAAGGTTTGCCTGGGTGATAATTTTTGAACACAGGAAGCAATCTCTGATCATTAGCAGAAATCTTATTAGTCGCCAGTTCCTCTGAAGTTATAAACTTATTTTTTGACATTTCTGCATTCTCTTCACTGTCTTTTGCATCCTCGGTAATTTTATTAGCTGGGAATATTAAACCAAATCCACCATCTATGGTCACAGTACTGTATCGATTAGCTGATGTTTCCAATGATTTGTCGAGAGTTTTTAATTCAATCTTCAGATTTTTAGTTTCTCCGCGTTGAACAGACTCGAACATATCTTCTGGCTTGAGAACTTTTTGCGTTGATGAAGGTATCATAATATGTTTAGTAGGGTTTACAAACTTTGGAATTTTTATACGTTTTGTGGATTGCGGCCTTTTTCTTTTAACAGGGATAACTTCTAGAGGTCGAGTATTACCTTCTCCATCTGATTCTAACTCGGACTCCTCTTCTTCTGATCCCTCTTCATTCACTTGCTCAGGGAATATATCTAAACAGGAAGAATTTATATAATTTTTTTCTGATCATTATTCTGGATGTAATTAAAATCTCATTATAAATGCTTTGTAGCATTGATTGATCAATCAGATGAGTTTTAATTAAACAATTAAACCAATTAAACAATTAAAAAATGCTTTTATTTAAAACATTTGTAATATTATGTTGACTGTTTACTGTATCCTCTGTTATCAAATACCTTTGTTTTTCTCCATATTATACACTTCCCTAAGCATAGGAAATTCCATTTCCAATTCTTCAAAAGGAGGAGGTAGATTCATCTTATTCATCAAGTGTAATACCTACGAATACACGTACAGCTGCAATAATGCCAATTAAAGTTGTATAAAAATAAAATCTTTTAACAAAGACCTGACAGTTTACCTGTGTATAAAAAGCTGGCTGAGTTAACAATTGTATAGTTATCCTTGCCACTGTACTTTTTGTCGGCGTTATATATTTATACCTTATATTTGGTGGAGGCGGTTGACTAAATTCATAATTCATCGTCCAATTGTTTAATTTCCGCAGGAATGCTTGGACATCAGACTTACTAACAGTTTCCATTTTCATATCACTGTTCACTGATATTTTATGTTGGATGCCTTGCTCCGAAAGTTCAGTGGGTATAGATTTTTTAGCATATTCAACCGACAGATATTGTCCTCTGACATTTAACTGATGCAAACGCAGCAGTGCTTCTGCTGCTAATTGTTGGGACAGGAATTTGGCAAAAGTGATAGTGTAGTTGTTGGATGGTCGTATCGTTTTGGTCTTGGTCGCGCCATATCTCTGTAATAATGCATCGCGCCGGTCATCAGAAAGTTGCGGAGGCAAATGAAGGATTCTCAGAGTATCACACGCCTAGAAAATACATTGGAAAATATATTATTCACGATATAGAAGTAGATTTATGTAATAGGTTAGAAACATAATTCTACTCTATAAAAATTAAAGTTTGATATTTTAATTAATTTAATAATGTCTTATAAAATATAATTACTGGAATCATTTTCTACGAAATTTTTTTGTTTTAATAAAAATAAGAATAATCTTCACTCGAGGTGTCAAGCAATTTCTTGTCTTTGAACAATTCTAACGAAATGTAAATAACCGTGAATCGCAACATGAATGCTGCTGTCACGTTCGAAACCTAGGTATCAATCATGAAACTTTTTTCCCTAGTATAGAAAGTGAAAAGTGAAAATTTTAACCATTGAAGTTAATAGGCCTGGGGCTCTATTCTTGAAAAGAAACGTATACGAAAGTCTAGGAAAATACTATAGTATACGTAACGTATACTGTAGCATTTTCCCTAGACTTTCGTATACGTTTCTTTTCAAGAATAGAGCCCCTGTTCTTTTTGGCTGAACTTTTGCACTAGTTCATCTTTCTTCCTTTTCTCTCCAGCAGGAAAGAAGAGGAAGAAAGATGAACTGGTGCAAAAATTAAGCCAAAAAGAACAGGCCTAATGGAAAAATTTTTCACTTTTTATCCTAGGAAAAAAGTTTCATGATTGATACCCTGCTATTTTACCATATCACGTTCCGATTGGTTACCACCGCAGCCATTCATAGTGACTAGTATGTGTGCATGGAGTTTTTCCCCTAGGCCAAAGATCAGGGCCCGTATTCAGAACGCGCTTACAACGATGTTAGTACTAACATACTATACTTACGTCACGTATATTATAGAATTTCAGAGATAAAAATGTGCTTTTATCGATAAAAGCGCTTTCTGAATACGGGCCCGGAGGTCCAGTGTTGGGGTGATATTTCATTTGTGCGTTTTTGTCGTACGACAAATTTTTCAGGCCGTTTGATTGGTTATAGGATAGAGAAATCCGACGACCTCTCTGTCCTACACACATTTGTCGTACGACGAAAACGCACAAATGAAATAGCACCCTTAAATTGTCCAATTGCCGAACGTGGACAATCGAGCAGGTTAACTTTTTGTCTGTTTTATGCCCGTTTCCATCAATGAAGAATAACTTTAATCTCGTTTCAATTTACTCTTCGTCTTTTTCTGCTTCTAAAGATTAGAAAAAGACGAAGAGTAACGGCTCCTGCACACTGGACGCGGAAACACTTATCGCGCGGCAAAATGTGATGTGGTAGTCAATAAGCTTACAGCTCCTAATTTCATTGGTTATCGCGTCTCATTTTACCGCGCGGCAAGCGCGCAGGAGCCATAAGTTGAACCGAGATTAAAGTTAATCTACGTTGGTGAAAATGGGCATTAAATGTACGTATTGGTTGAATACTCTTCCATTATCGTCGAGGCTCGCGCATGCCGAAGCCAAACAAGCGTCTAGAGCTCTATTGCGCAGTACGCCGTAGCAGAGAGAAATCTGAGAGGAGTTATCTCTCTTGTAAATCTGAAATCCACGGTATAGAAGAGAAGAAGAGGAAAAGAGGGGGCCAGCTTGGCCTTTTTTGTCGAAATCGCTGATATACTACTAGAGTCCCTATAAGGACTCTAGTATACTACCGCTAGAGTCCTAGATTTATCAGAGAGGCGCAACCGGCTTAAGTCAGTATGACAAAAGTGCTAAGGAAAGTACTAAACATGGCCGACATGGTATGAAACTGCCTTTAAGGGGATCCTAAAGATCTGTATTACCGACTTAAACACGTATAATTTTTGTATAAAGGTGCCTTTTCATGCTGACGCTCGACGCTCATTTTCAGCGTCAAAACAGGTCACATGATCAAAATTGACGAATCCCAAGCGTCAATTTTGATCACGTGACCTGTTTTGACGCTGAAAATGAGCGTCTAGCGTCAGCGTGAAATCGCACCTTAACGAATACTCTTTTTCTCTTTCACGGATTGGAAAAATCCTTTTCCAGGATTAAAGTATATGCATTAATACGTGTTTGTGAAGTAGAGTCTACGCTGAAAATGATCAAAAATTTCGAAATCAATATATTTTTTACCATTTCTTAGTGTAACATGGCGTCTCAGCTGTCAAGTCGTGACAACATTTGTTTGATATGAAAGCTTTGCAACCCGAACGTACGAAATAATAGTTCCCAAACAAGTAATTTGCACGAACATACAACGTCGAGTTCTTAGAATTAGATTTAGACGCTTTATTGCGACGAATTCGTTATACGAAAATTGACACGCATGTGTGACTGCGTGTATCATAGGCTGCGTGAGATATTGCTGTGGTAGTATAAAAAGACATGTCGATGTGCGGAGCGCGGCGCGACATCTAGTGATTTTTCGGAGTTCGAGCTTTGCTTTAGAATCCTCTTAAACTATGTCAAACAAGATAAGACGTGTAGGATAATGTGAGATAGAATGTATAGGATAAAATGAAATAGAAATATGTCACTAGTACTATAAATGGCTGCCAAGTCACGCAATTGGTCAGATTGCAACAGCGAATCAGAATGCATAACACCGGTTGCGCCTCTCTGATAAATCTAGGACTCTAACTACCGCTAGTATATTCATTTTTGAAATGGATTACTACATAAATGGAATACTACATAAATAACTATATCCATTTTTACACTATCGGTAAAATTAGCAGAGAGTTCGTTGAAAATGTCAAAAATATTGGTAAACATCTAGATCAGGGGACTCCCTCCAATGACCTTGACCTTGACATATGTTGTCAAGGTCATGACCCTGAGTGACCTTCAACAAGTTTTAGCCGTCAGTTGTTATTCGTTAAAAAGTTATGAACAAAAAAA